AGAAAAAAGTGAGAGGGGTAGCATACAGGCCAGGTGAGGAGGAAAATACTAAACCCTTGTCTGAGAAATGAGCCGGGAGACCTTTCCTGCTGTGCAAGCAACCGAGAGTTTCTCAGGAAAGGAACACAAAAGTGAAAAGCACAGCGACCTGCCCGAGATGGGAAAATGTGGCTTGAGAGTGAAAGACAGTAGTCACTAATAACACAGAGGCTTCCTGCTCATGGCTGAGGAATGTTCCTTGACTGCCACTTATCATTGCAAGATGTGTCAAATAATCTTGCTCTGTGACTTGAGAAATCACAGACTTACCATCCTCTGCGGCTGGGAGGGGTCTCAGACATGCCGGAAAGGGGCCACTGAGAACCAGTCCAACCAAATTCAATTTCAAAGACTCTTAGCAGATCAGTCACAGGACTCGAGCCAAGGAAGCCCGGGCATCTGCGAGTCCCATCAAATCCATGGCACACTCCCTGGTCCTCATCACAGAGCTCTTTTGGGGGCTGTGCCAAAAGCAAATGGTGTCATTCATCCCAGGGCAAAGGCAAGAACGGGGCTAATGCTTGGCACGAGTGAGCTGGATCAATTCCAGAACTAATTCGGGTCCTGGTTCTCTTGGAATGACCGCTTAACATGGCAGCCTTCAAGAGTTTTCTGCAAAGGGCAACTGTCGAAGGGCAAATTTTGTGCCGAGACAAAAGTTTGCTCAAACTGCTTCTTCAAGATTTCAGCCTATTAGTCCTCAGCGTAAGACCCTATTACTTCCAAGAGTTGGAATCCAAAGGTTTGAACTCTCCTTCCATGTTGATTCTTAAGCCCCAGGAGAAAGGGCACTGCCCCAAACCACCTAGACACTCCCACAGCAAAGTCCTTCCTTGGCTTAATCATAGGAGTCAGCCCTTTAGGTGTTTGCCAATCATACCAAGCAGTTGCTGAAAGAAATGGACTCCGGAAACTCTTGATTCAGAGCCTGAAAGGATGCCTGCACGTCATGACTCTTCTGATCAAAGCAACCCCATGCCACCCTTGGTGCTTAGGGAACAGCCTGGCAGACAATGGGATTCTGAATGGCAGAAAGTGTGGTCGCTCAACTCAGAAACAAACTGAGATTGGCCTGTCTGCATTCAGAAAGGTAACAGCAAACACCTTTGTTAAGAGAGGCCCTCGCTAGTTTTGCTAAGGGAGTCAAAGAAAGACAAGTATCATCCTAGCTCACTTATATATGGAATCCCAATGAGCTGAACTTGGTCAAAGAGATAGCACAGGAGATGGGGCCAGAGAGAAAACACAATGGGTAGGACACTTGCCTTACATGTGGCCAATCCAGGTCCCATCCCTGGCACCCCTCGTGATCCCCCAGCCACCACCAGGAGTGATTTTTGAGTGCAGATCCAGAAGTAACCTTTGAACACTGCTGGGTGTGAGTAACTTGGAGACCATATGGGATGCCCAGGACTGAACCCAAATGGTCTCATGCAAAGCAAGCACCCTACCTGCCCTACATGGTTAAATAAACCAAAATATAGAGAGGGAGAGAGAAAGAGAAAAAGAGAGAGAGTGTGTGTGTGTACAGGAGGTAAGATGCTTGCCTTGCATGAAGCTGGTTCAGTCCCAGGACCTCATATGGTCCCCAAGCCCAGGGGTCACTCTGAGGACTACCCACTACCCACCACAAAACAAACTGTAATAAATTCAAAAACTCAACTCATAAATGCAGAGAATTGCCAAAGGCTCTGGAGAATGGAGAGATGTTATCAAAAGGTTCAAAATGAGTTAAGTTCTGAAGATCTCAAGTACAGTGTGGTAGTCAAAATTACTAATAATACTCTATCACTGGAAGTTGCCAAGAGAATATATGGTACTATGTTCACACGTTCACACACACACACACACATACACACACAACTATGTGAAGTGATAAAGGTATCAACTAACCTAATAATGGTAATCATTTCTCAATCTACACCTGTATCAAATCCATATTTTTTTTTGCCTTAAACTGCTCCAGTGTTATAAGGAGAGGAGGAAGAGATGGATAGAGAGGAATAGAGAGAGAGGGAGAGGGAGAGAGAGAAGGAAAGAGGGAAACAACAAGGGTCAGATAGGCGAGGAGGACGGGTCCTTGCTGCCTGACAATCTGCAAACCCTGGAAATCCAAGATGACTGGCAGGCAGTGCATCTTGCCCAACTGGAAAACAAAGTCTTCTAGCCTTGTTTTTTGGTTTTATTTTTTAAAACATTTTATTTTATTTTATTGTTTTTGGTCACATCTGGCACTGCTCAGGAGTTGCTCCTGGCTCTGGACTCAGAATCACTCCTGAAGGGTTTGGAGACCCTATGGAATTGAACCCCTATGGAATGTTTGGGATTGAACCCAGATGGGCTCATGCAGAGCAAGCAACCTACCCACACTACCTGATGTACTATCTCTCCGGCCCTCCTAGCCTCATTGAAGGTGGTGTGAGCAGATAAAAAATATGGGAAAATAAGATTAGGGATTATGCAGACAAACAAAGGAAGTCTAATTCCCTAGATTCCTCCCAAACATTTCCTGCTATCTACCCTCTACTGACAGGGTAGTAAACCCCCGGCTGTCAAATGCCCTGCACTGGGACCGCTCCTGGAAGCGGGGTGGGCCTCACCTCCCTTTCATGCTGCTCTGAGATAAGGGACAGGAAGTAAGGGGTTAACCTGATTCTGTGGACTAAGAGCAAAATTTCTGGGCTATTCCTGACATTCAAACCACAAAGAAAAGGTCCGGATTCCAAGGTCATAAATTTGACAGTCTTTCTGGTTTGAGTTGCAAACAAATGGAATTCTTGCAGGTCCAACCCACTGGTTTAAAGACATGTCCTGCCAGGGAAATTCCAAGTCCTGCAAACATGAGCAAGCCCTGAGGGATTTCCCTGCCGGGATCACTGCCATGGGAAGCAGGGGGCTGCGCTGGGCAGAGCTCCTGCCGGCTGCCTTCTGTAGGCAGAGTTTTGCTTTTTTTTTTTTTCTTTTTGGGTCACACCCGGCAATGCACAGGGGTTACTCCTGGCTCTGCACTCAGGAATTACCCCTGGTGGTACTCAGGGGACCATATGGGATGCTGGGAATCGAACCCGGGTGGGCCACGTGCAAGGCAAATGCCCTGCCCTCTGTGCTATTGCTCCAGCACCTGTAGGCAGAGTTTTGAAGGAAGCAAGAGCATGTTCCAGAGAGAGAAGAAAGGAAGAGGGAGGGGGAGAGGGTAAGGGAAAGGGTAAGGGAGAGGGAGAGGGAGGGAGAGAGAGGGAGAGAGGAGAGAGAGAGAGATTGGTGGTGGGAAATGTGTTGGAACATTGTATGACTGACATTGTATCATGAGCAACTTTGTAACTGTGTATCTCACTAATTCAATGCTCCAGGTGACATGCAAGGACAGTCTGCCACACTCTGCAACCAGGCCCGGGACATGCCTTTCCTACTCAGCAATACGCGCTTGCCATTATGGGTCCTGCGACCTGCATGTTATCCTGTCTTTCCTCTTTCCACGTAAAACTGCTTATTGTGGCTGTTCTGTTTTCCCTTTTGTGTTATATGCTGTGGTTTAGGAATGATTGATTTGGCCAGTTAGTCAGAGATTGCTAAGGGGTTCTGAGAAGTACATCTGGTTCTGATAAGGAGGAAGGAGCCATCCCCCAGGAATGCTGCTCTCGGGTCTGGATGCAGAAACACCCCCAACTTGGAGCTGGCCCCCGTTTGTGGTGGCCTGGACCACAATTCCCCTTCCTCACTGTGTGCTATTTTTCACACCAGCACATGGTATGTCATGTGTGCTCACTCTGAGTGACAAAATGGTGGAAGGAAAGAGATGGCTAGAGCTCTCTGTTGCCGAAGCATGTTTTGGGTGGCTCTTTTCCCTCCAGTACAATCCTGAGGGGGGGGGTGTCATTGATCACATTTACCTCCTTTCAATCACATTGATAACTCAGTCATGTGAGCAAGCCCAAAGCCAGAGGGAGACCAATCACCCCAGTTCTTATTGACAAGGATCCATCCAAGAGGGGGAGGGAAGGAGAGGAAGGGAGAGACAGAGAGTGAGAGAAAGGAGGGGAGGGGAGGGAAGGGGGGAGGGGAGGAGAGTTCGGGGAGGAGAGGGGAGGTGAGGGAAGAGGAGCGGAGGGGAGGCAGAGAGAGAGAGGAGAGTGGAGGGGAGGGGAGCAGAGAAGAGGGAAAGAGAGAAGAGGGAGAGATCGGAGAGGGAGAGATCGGAGAGGGGAGAGGAGAGGAGGGAAGGGGAGGGGAGGGGAGGGGAGGGGAGGGGAGGGGAGGGGAGGAGAAGAGAGGAGAGAAGAGGAGAGAAGGGGAGGGGAGGGGAGGGGAGGGGAGGGGAGGGGAGGGGAGGAAGGAGAAATAGGGAGAAGACAGGAGAGGGGAGGGGAGGGGAGGGGAGGAAGGAGGGATAGGGAGAAGACAGGAGAGGAGAGGAGAGGAGAGGAGAGGAGAGGAGAGGAGAGGAGAGGAGAGGAGAGGAGAGGAGAGGAGTTGAAGAGAGAAGAGGGAGAGAATGAGCACACGCAAAACAAAGAGTTGTCCTCATAGTGTGGAAGTCTCTACTCCGGGTCCTGGTGGGTGCCACTCCTGCTCTGACACCACAGCGCCCCTCCTCACCCCCACCATCCTTCTCAGCAATGGCATTTTTCTTGGGATAAAATGAGATGAAATAAAATAAAAACTGTCACTTGTGGCAACGTAAAAAGAAATCTCAGGGCTGGAGAGATAGCACGGCGGGTAGGGCGTTTGCCTTGCACGTGGCCAACCCGGAATTCCCAGCATTCCATATGGTCCCCTGAGCACTGCCAGGAGTAACTCCTGAGTGCAGAGCCAGGAGTAACCCCTGTGCATCGCCGGGTATGACCCCCCCACCAAAAAAAAAAAAAAGAAAAGAAATCCCAATAACACATAACTGATGCGGCAGATTGGACAGAAACGTTTAGGACACGGAAAGACGGCACTTGAAGCAGCAATCGAGGTACCTTTCACTTGAGCCCACACAGCACAGGAGAATCTTCTGTCCTATAAAGAAAAACAGCAGCACATTTAGCAAGGTCACACACGATGTCAGTTTAAATATACTTCAGCTTTCTGAGTGCAGAGTTTTAGCTCTAAATTTGGACCCCAAGGTCTTAAAACTATCATCTAGCCTGAACTTCTTGTAACTTAACCTTAGCTAACTTCTTGTATCATCTAGCCTTAGCTTCTTGTAAATGCTCACCAATGCTCTCCCATCCCTTGAGCCCCAAACGGGTAGCAGGGACAGAGTGGCCCTAAGGGTTATCGTCCATCACTGTCACTGTCACTGTCCCAGTCCTCCCATTGTTCATCGATTTGCTCGAGCGGGCCCAGTAACATTGTGAGACTTGTTGTTACTGTGTTTGGCATCTCGAATACGTCACGGGGAGCTTGCCAGGCTTTGCCGTACGGGCAAGATACTCTCGGTAGCTTGCCGGGCTCTCCGAGAGGGACGGAGGAATTGAACTCGGGTCGGCCCGGTCGGCCATGTGCAAGGCAAATGCCCTACCCACTGTGCTATCGCTCCAGCCCATAGTTTCCAAATAAACCTCAGAAAGCACACGCCATGGATAAGAAATAGGAAAGGGAATAGTTTTCCTTCCCCTTACCAGCTCTTAGCCTTGATTGCCTGGACAGCTGTTAAAAGGAATGCTGAGGTCACATGGAGTTCTGATGCATGTGACAGGAAGACCGGAAGGGGTGGTATGCAACAAGACTTCACCTACCCAGCTGATCCTGACCCAGTACCCTCAGCTATCCCAAATACAGTGAAGAACCAGGAAGAAAGCAAAAACGAACACCTTTAAGACAAACACAGCTGGTCTCCCTTATCTATAGTAGCACTATGGCACTGCAGGCCTGTCCTCCTGTTGTTCATCAATTTGCTAGTACACAGAATAATTGGATGAGGAAATACAAGGTATTAGGGAGGGGGTATGGAGGAAACGCAAGGTATTGGTCGGGATCACTCTTGATCCCAGAGTATGGGAAGGGGGACAGGGAAGGGAATAAATTAAGGGGCAAAGTAAGAAGAGGTGGACGGGAAGTAACAAGGGGCCAGTGTCAAAGGGGACATGGGTGGTGTGGAGGAGTGGTATAGCCACACATCCAAACCATTGATTCAACAACACTGAAAACAGGAGATCCATAATGAAACCATAAAACTTAAAAATGTGCCAGTCGAGTATGAGCTGGGGGAGAAGGCAGCTAGGATAGAGGAGGGATCACTAAGTCAGTGATGGTTGGAGGGATCGCTCGGGATGGGAGATGTGTGATGAAAGTCGATAAAGGACCAAACATGATGGCCTCTCAGTATCTGTATAGCAAACCATAATGCCCCGAAGTAGAGAGAGTAAGAGAGAAACTGTCTGCCACAGAGGCAGGGGGAAGGGTGGGACAGGGTGTGGGGGGATATTGGGGACATTGTCACTGTCACTGTCCTCCTGTTATTTATCAATTTGCTTGAGCAGGCCCAGTAACGTCTCCATTGGAGACTTTGTTGTTACTGTATTTGGCATATCGAATACGTCACGGGGAGCTTGCCAGGCTCTGCCGTGCGGGCGAGATACTCTCAGTAGCTTGCTGGGCTCTCCAAGTGGGACAGAGGAATCGAACCCAGGTCGGCAGCGTGCATGGCAAACTCCCTACCCGCTGTGCTTATCGCTCCAGCGTGCTGGGGACATTGATGGTGGAGAATGTACACTGGTGGAGGGATGGGTGTTCAATCATTATATGACTCAAACTCAAACATGAAAGTTTTGTAACTGCAATTCACAGTGATTCAGTAGAAAAAGAAGAGAAAAGAAAATGTGCGTGGCGAGGAGGCAGATTGGGATGGGAGGGAACCTGGGGAGCTGGTGGAGGGAAGTTGACACTGGTAGTTGGACTGGTGCTGGAACATTGTACACCTGAAATTCATTGATGAATCACTTTGCAAATCACAGTGCCTTAATAAAAAAATATGATTTTAAAACAAAAGTAAGTATAGCGGGAATCCTCTGCATCCAATGGGTGCACAAACCCATTGGAATGAAAGGTGGTCTATTCTCCCCCACTGTGATTTTATGCATATTTGTCTGTTAGGAGTGCTGGAACCACTTGTGACTGAACTTGGCAAAATATTCCCCCGAGGAAACTGAACAGGAGGGGTGAAAGATCTTTCTAACGTCATTAGGAAGTTTTTTTTCAAGTGATAACTTTGAGTGTTCTGGTTTATGTTTCATTAGAATTTTAAAAATCCATATTTACTCTAAAATTTTCTGGCATAGCCTTTAAGTTGCCATAACGTTTCCAACTACAGTGCCTAGGAGCAAAGGAGAAAGAAAAGTGTCTGCTGTAGAGGGAGGCTTCGGGGCAGGAGGGAAATAGGAGGAACATTGGTGGAGAGGAGCGGCACTTGTGAAGGGACAGGTGCTTGACCATCGTAGACTGAAAATCATGAACAAGTTTGTAACTTTGTGATGATTCAACACGTTTTTTTAAATTTAAGAAAAAGTAAGAGAAAAAAACAGTGAAACAGTTACTTGGGGGAATGGACTAGAGCAATAGCACAGCGGGTAGGGCCTTTGCCTTGCAAGCGGCCGACCCGGGTTCAATTCCCAGCATCCCAATATGGTCCCCTGAGCACTGCCAGGAGTGATTCCTGAGTGCAGAGCCAGGAGTAAGCCCTGAGGATCGACGGGTGTGACCCAAAAATCAAAAAAAAAAAAAAAAAAGAAAGAAACAGTTACTTGGGAACTGAGTGTACTAAAGGGGGAACTGGCAGAGAGAGAGCTCATGAAAACAGTGCCTTCTTGAGCAAGTAAGAGACTTTTGCACACCATACAGTGGACAAAGGATCAATATACAAAATATGCAAAATACGCCAGCTGAACACGAAAAAAGCAAGCCCCCACCCCAAATGAATAAAAGACCTGAACAGAAACTTCTTTAATGAAGGCATATAGATGGCTCAAGGACACCTGAAAAACATATTCCACATCACTTGTTAAATAAATACAAATCAGGGCTGGAGCGGTAGTACAGTGGGTAGGGCGTTTGCACATGGCCTACCCAGGTTTAATTCCCAGCACCTCAGTTGGTCTCCCGAGCATCACCAGGAGTAATTCCTGAGTGTAAAGCCAGGAGTAACCCCTGTGCATCACTGGGTGTGACCCAAAGAAACAAAAAAAAACACAAATCAAACCCACTATAAAATATCAATACACCCTGTGAGAATGACCTATATCAAAAAGATTGGAAACAGTAAGTGCGGGTTAAAAGGTTCAGGGGCACTCTTGATGGGAATGTCTATGTTCCAGCCCCTATGGAAAACGGGATGGAGAGTCCTTAAAAACTGCTACAGATGGTCAATGGTGTGGGGGTGGAGGGTAGTTAAGATAGAGGAGGGTCCATTATTACAATCACGGTCACGGTCCTCCCATTGTTTATCGATTTGCTCGAGCAGGCCCAGTAACGTCTCCATCATGAGACTTGTTGTTACTGTGTTTGGCATATTGAGTACGTCAGGGTAGCTTGCCAGGCTCTCCGTGCAGGCGAGATACTCTCGGTAGCTTTCCGGGCTCTCCGAGAGGGGTGGAGGAATCGAACTCGGGTCGGCCATGTTGGCTGCGTGCAAGGCAAACGCCCTACCGCTGTGCTATCGCTCCAGCCCATTATGACAATACTAGTTGGAAATGATCACTCTGGACAAGAACTGAGTGTTGAAAGCAGGTAAATGATGTACATGATAACATTTTATCTGTATTGCAAACCATGATGCCTAAAATGAGAGAAGAGAGAGAGAGAGAGAGAGAGAGAGTTTCCTGCCATAGAGACAGACTGGGGTGGGGGTAGCTTGAAGGGGTAGAAGGGAAACTGGGGACACTGGTGCTAGGAAATTACACTTGTGGAGGGATGGGTGTTGAAACATTGTATGGCTGAAACACAATCATGAATAATTTTGCAATGTCTATCTCATGATGACTCAATTTTTTTTAAATGCTACAAAGGGGTGGGGGGGACGATGTAGAGGACAGGACGGGGGTCAAGGCACTCGCCTTGCTCACAGACAGCCAGTTTAATCTCCATCTCCACATATTGTCCTTCAAGCATGATTAGGAGTGACCCGAGCACAGAGCCAAGAGAGAGCCCTGAGCAAAAAGCTGCACTTTTTTTTTCCCCTCAGTGCAGCTGAGGAAAAAAAGATAGGCCCTCCAAATTTTTTTTACACAGCAATCCTATGTTAATATAGCAATGCTGCTTTGAGGCTTTTATCCAATGGAGGTGAAAATACTAATTTGCATCCAAGTGTTCATGGTGAAGAATGTTAACACAACATAAAATCAACTCAAATGGCCATCAGGAATTACCTGACTAAGGAAGGTGTGGTTACATCCTCAGTGGAATACTATTGTGCTAGTTTTTCAAAATGATATTGCGTCTTCTAGAATAAAAGGAATGGAACTGGAGGTGATTGTGCTGAGTGAAATAAGTAAAGAAGTGAAAGACCTGGACAGTTTCGTCCCTATGGAAACAAATGAATAACTAAAGCAAACTGACAGGCAAAAAAAACTAAATTCAGGAGGAATGGTTTCCAGAGGAAAGGCTGGGTGGGAAGAATAGATAGAAGAGTCTTTCTGAAAGTGAGATGATGCTAGAACTCCGTGGGTGGGCAGGTAAGATTTATACACAGAGAAACGTGTAACTGAGCCCTTGAAAGTCCATAGTGTTAACACTGTGTGATAATAAGGTCTGTGATAATAATGTGATAATAATCTAGTGATAATAGAAAGGGAAACACTTTTTTTTTTTTGTGAAACACCATGAGGTACAGTTGTAGATTTACAATTTTTTGTGCTTGGGTTTCGATTATACAATGATCAGATACCCATCCCTCCACCAGTGCCCATTTTCCACCACCATGGATAATATCCCTCCCACCCCCGTCCCCCCATCCCCTCCCCCGCCTCTGTGACAGGGCAATCCCCTGTGTTCTCTCTCTCCTTTTGGGTGTTGTGGTCTGCGAAAGAGGCATTGAGTGGCAAACATGTTCAGTCCATAGTCTACTTTCGACATGCATCTCCCCTCCTGGGAGGATCCTCCAAACACCCTTTATTTGGTGCTCCCTTCTCTCTCTGAGCTGCCCAGAAAGGGAAACACTTTTAACACAGTTCCTTGAAGTGATTTTCATTTTATAAAATTCCTTTCTGATCAAGAAAACAGATAAGAGACCAGAAGATAAATTAGAAAATCGGTGTCCAGACAAGGCATGTCAAAGGCTGAGTAGCACAATGAAGACGGAAAGGAAGACAAGCACTAAGGTACTAGAACTGACACAATTTCATGATGATCCAGAGCAGAAGGTAAGAATCAGAGAACAGAAGAATTAATTCTAGATTTCTGTCTGATCAACTGAAAGCATAACGCTGGGATAGATATATAGAAGGAATAAATAAAATTGGAGAATTGGAAAAGCCATACTTTCTAATTTATAATTTGACTACAAAGCTAAAGAAATCAAAACAGGGTGGTACCAGCATAAAGATACACATACAGATAAAAAACAAAGAACCCAGAAATAAAATCTTATGTATATGTCAAATGAGTTTTGACAAGGCTGTTAAGACCATTCAATAGGGAAAAAAAAAGGAAATACTTTCAACCAACAGTGCTGGTAAAACTAGATTATAACATGCCAAAGAGTGGATAGGACTCTTACCTAATACCATGTACAAAAACAATGAAAAATCCAACCTAAATATGAGAGCTAAAGCTCTCCAAAGAAAATCTGGTGGAAAAACTTCTGGAAGTTGGATTTGGCAATGATCTCTTGGATATGACACCACAGGCATGAGCAACAATCAAGAAAATAGAGAAATGGGACTTCATCAAAATTGAGAGCTTTTATGCATCAAATGACTCTTATAAACATAGAGAAAGAGAAAGACAAAGAAAAAGAGAGAGAGAGAGAAAGAAAGAAAGAAAGAAAGAAAGAAAGAAAGAAAGAAAGAAAGAAACCCACAGTTTGGCAGAAAACGTTTTTCAAACTGTATATCTCAAGAGAAATCAATATCCAAAGTATATGCAGAACTCCTTCTGTTGAACCAAATGTTATGAACACTTGGTGGTAGGGCTTCTGGGAGGGCTGGTTAGACGAGGTTCTGAAGGTAAAGGGCCCAGATGGGATTAACATCCATCTAACATGGAGAAGACTGACCAGCACTCCCTCCCTCCCCATTGAGTGAGGACATAGCAAGAAGGCCACCTCTGCACGCCCACAAGTGGGTCTCACCAGAGAACCAAGCTAGCCTGCACCTTAATCTTAGGCCCGGAAATCTCTAGAACTGTGAGACATAAATGATGTTGTTTACACAACCAGTCTATGGCACCTGGTAATGGCAGCCCAAGCTGACTAATAATACACCCTCCCAGACTGAAGTCTCAGTCTGATCAACAGCTTTCTGAGAAATCTCTAAATTGTAGTTAGCATCCTGCCAGTGTTGTGTCTATGACTAGACATGCCAACCTGAGGTCTCTAGGCAGTTTTCTAGCAAGGTTTTGGCTGAGTCATAAATACCTTTTGAAAAAAATTAAGTAGTGTGTGTGTGTGCGCGTGTGTGTGTGTGTGTGTGCATGCACGCACATGCGTGCATATTCTGGGTGATACTCTCTAATTTTTAATTACCACATTATTTTCACAAAAACATTACCACTAGTTCCCCTGTGCTATTTGGATTTACTCTTAGAAATCGGTTTTATATCAACCGTGATATGGCCTATTAGATCTGTGTCCTCTACAGAACAAGATATCTCGCTTTCAAATATGTGATGACCCTTCTACAAATTCATCAGTTAATGAATATTTATCTACCTCCATTTCATTTTCTTCTGGAGCATATATTAATTGGTGCAAAGACTACAGTCATTCTCACTTTAGGTCTCCTATATTGCACATGGATTGAGAAAATATCTTACGATTTTTTAAAATGATACAGATAAAAACAAGCTTTAGCACTTTATCTTCTTCTGCAGTTTCCGTAATGTGAATAAAAGATGCCTTGACTAGAAAAAAGAAATTTCTATTAATGGTATTATCTTGTTTCCAGTTGTTGTTACCAATCCAGTTGTTGGTACCAAGCTACCAACAGAGATAGCTTCACGCTGTAGTTCTTCTAGGGCAACCATCACAATGATTCTTGCAGATCTTCCGTCCCTGACCAAAAAATCCACCTCATGTTCTTCAGCTGGTCCAGTTCATTATGGTTATTGATCATGTGGTGACTCTTCAGTTCTATTTATTATCTAATGAATATGCAACCATTCTCATGGAAGAGCAAAGCCTTTCGAAAGACCAGGGAGAGAAAACTGGGGTGTATGCACCACTCCCAAACAGGGTCTGAGCAGAAGGAAGGAAGTGGTGAGTTTAAACCCCCTCCCTCCTGCTTCCTGGAGGAAGCAGCAATCTGGCAAAGAAATGTCAGAGAAGGAAAGGGGGGGTGTGGGGGGAGGGGGAGGAAAGGGAAAGTCATAGGCAAGAAAATGAAAGTTCACTGCTCCTCTGCAAGTCAGCCCTTAGCAGTGTTGTAAATGAAAGGCTTTCAGAAAGTTTATGGGGCAGCAGGTAAGCTTGTATTGCGGACAAAGGTTCGATCTCCAACTGCATATGATTCCCCAGCACTGCAAGAGAGACCTATGAGTCCAGAGCTTGGAGTATGTTCTGAGCACATCTGGGTGTGGCCCTCAAACAAAAACAAACCAACCAACCAAAATTGGGAAGCTTAAGAGGAAGAAGCAAAAGCAAGCCATTCATTCCAGACACAGGTCCCACCAGGTCACTCTGGAAGCTCAGAGTGTCACCACTCATAAAGGTTTCAATGGCTCATCCTTTAGAGAGGTCAAGTATTCATGGTTATTGATTGCACTGTTTACCAAATGCCCAGAAACATTTACATTTCATGTGGCTGGTGCAATAGCACAGCAGGTAGGGCATTTGCCTTGCATGCAGCCAACATGGCTGAACAGAGTTCGATTCCTCTGCCCCTCTCAGAGAGCCCGGCAAGCTACTGAGAGTATCTCGCCCGCACGGCAAAACCTGGCAAGCTACCGTGACGTATTCGATATGCCAGACACAGTAACAAGTCTCATAATGTTACTGGGCCCGCTCGAGCAAATCGATGAACAACGGAGGACAGTGACAGTGACAGTGATAAGAAAGAAAGAGTTCACAACATCTTTTCAAGAAATATACCTGATTCCATTCACTTGTGATCCGCACTATAATGCAGTAATCGATGCCTGTTTTCAAGGGTGCATTGTAATATTTCCCATAGTATAGCCTATCTCCAATAGAGAGCTCCATGGCATCGTCTGCAACATCTTTGGCCAGTAGTTCTGCAGCCACGTATCCATCAGCCTTAGAAGTATTGCTAAAATATGAGGTAGCTCCTTTAGAATCACAAGGAAAAGTGCTTTGCAGAGCCAGGGGAAGCACTAACACCTGATAGGAACTGAAAGAAAAAAGAAAATGTTTATCAACCTTTCAGTATCTAATGCAAACCACAGTGCCCAAAAGGGAGGGGGGGAGAGAGAAAGAGAGAGAGAGAGAGAGAGAGAGAGGAAGAGAGAGAGGTGCATGCCATAGAGGCAGGTGGGGGTGGGGGATGGGGGTGATAGGAGGGAACCAGGGGCACTGGTGCTGGGAAATGTACACTGGTGGAGGGATGGGTGTTGGAACACTGTATAAGTGAAATCCAATCATGAACAGCTTTGTAAGGGTCTATCTCACAGTGATTCAATAAAAAAAATTTAAAAAATTTTTTAAAAATTTTTAAAAAGACAATGTTTATCAGATCCTCACCTGGGGGTCCATTCACTACCTTAGTGCTGCTCATTGAATACCCGCTGTTTCTCAGAGCACTCTTCCTGACACAGGAAACGCGGCACTGAACCTGGAATTGGCAGGCTGGCTGCCCCAATGGTCATGCAACTCCAACCCCACCGCTAGATGATAAGGAGCAAAGTTCACATTCTAACTGCAGGGGGGTGCGGAGGACATCTCCTTTAGTGAGGCCGCTCAGATCCTGCCTTGTGCGTGCTTGTGGTGAAGTCCATGTAACCAGCGAGTCTCACGTGGGCACATAAAGGCAGCTGTGAAAGGACTTAGCAGTCACATGGAGGCCAGCTGTCTCCCAGAGTCAATGTACAAAGTCTGCTGACCATCACGTGACATGTGAGGCAGAATCCACGGGATTGCACATGGCTCCTGACAGCTCACAGATCGATACCAAAGGTCATGTGAAAAAACTGAGACCCAGGAATGCAACATCACGGGCGGTGACATGGCCTGACAACCTCCCACAACAGAAGGGAAGGTGTCACAGGGACCCTGTAAAACCATTCTTTAAAGGCAAATATGGTGACACAAGGGCAGCCCAGTGTCATTTTGTCACAAGCTTTATTATTTGGCCCATCAAAGAGAAAGCCTGTCAGCAAAAGGGTGTGTCCAAATAAAATGGGACCAACGATGACCCATGCCTTCCTTTGATTCTCCTTTTTCTATCAGCCTTGACAGCAGGGATTTAAATGATTTCTCTTTTATCCTTGCAAACCCTTGTGCAGTTCTCTGGCTATGATTGACTCCCCACTGAGGTTTCTTGAGTTGAAATTTTAATAAAGAGAATAAAACAGGCATCAGCGCCAAGTATGATTAGGGTGATTTCCAAAACTCATTAGACCACATGATTCTATTTTACCCGTGAATATAAATTTCCTGCTCCACGTACCTGGAGCCCCATCTCTCACTCTCAAGAACCCATGAGTCACCAGGTTAAATAAAGGGAGCTTTCCCCAACAGTAGGTGTTGGATTTGCAAAGTTCCCACCCACGAGGGGCTCTCGAACATTCCAGGTGTCCTCTGGGTCCTGATTTCCACAAAGCCTGGGTTCCCTTTCAGACAAGAGCTTCCTTTGGAAAGGTGCAGTGGAAAGCCTCGTGGCCATGAGTTGTCTGTCACCATAGCAAATATTTACTGAGCATGCACTGCAGACTAGGGAGCACCTGCGGCAGTCCACAGCCCCATGAATCAAGCACGGCAGCAGCTTTGTGCTGCCCGACAGCACCCTTTCAGATGCCAGCTGCCTTCCCATGCAGGTGCTGGGGGTCAGAGACAAAGCTCAGGGGAACACACTGCCCCATCGAGGCACCCTGGAGGAGGCGTGAAGAAAGCACGTCCATGGGTTAGCATGCTCAGCAATCTCTACCTGGCAGAATGCTAACACTGACTTCTAGCCCCTTCCCATATGGACTGATGTTGTGCTGATGACCAACCCCTCTCAGCGACGCCCCCGCCCAAAGATACCCTGTAATCTGGCAGGTAAGACGACACCAGCAAGCCGGGAGCCCAGATACAGGCTATACTGACTCCCTAAATTCACCCAGTTAAGGACATTTGGTCCCTGAGCCCCTAGCTCCACCTTGCATCCTGCTCTTAATCCTCAACGATGCACAAAGACTTTGATTGGTTTCACCCCAGTGAGGCTGCTCCCCGCAGCGCTGAACAGGTAGGCAGGCTGAGGACACCTCCCCGCCTTCCTGCTTGTAATTAGCACTGATGACGTCAGGGAAGCGGTTCTGGCTGTTGGAGACACAAGTGTTCTGGAAGGGTTTCTCCCCCTTTCTCCCTGCCACCCTTCCTGGAGGGACTCAGACCCCCACTTCCTGTTTTGAAGGTAATAGCCAGCGCAGGACCGCAGGGCCACCTGTCTTCTGGTACTTCATCTCGCCTTACATACTGCTTGGCCCAAATGCCACGTTTGCTCTTGCAAATTCTCCCAGGCAGCGATATCGCCTCTGTTGTCCTTATAGCCCCAGAATAACAGTGTCTTCCAGTTAACCGGACAGGGATCAAGAAGCACAACAACCTGTGCGCCCTATCCATCCCTGGAAAGATCTCTGGGAAATAACTGAACTCAAAGTAACAGAAAGGCAGAAGTCTGTCATATAAACAGATCCACAGATAACATCTCCAGACTTTAAAAAAGATGCTTTTCCTGTCCTCTCACGGGACAAACTGATTTCATACCAATCCCCTCTGGGACCTCTGAAGCCATCTCTAACCACACAATGTCTAACACATAACTAAATCCATCAATGAATCAAAAGAATCATCCAAATGGTCCTTTCAGAAACCACAACACCGAATCATGTGTCCTACAATCACCCTTAAATACAGAAAAATATTTTCTGTCTTTACTCAGTGAAACGGTACACCTGATCCACCCTCACCAACAGATGGACGGAGAGATGGGGAACCAAGGACAAGCCTGACTTCCTGTTGGACAAGCACAGGCAGAGCAAAATGTGCCTCTGGTGACCAAAGAAGTGAAGGCCTTTTTTGAGCTAAGCCACCCGAGCACCGATCTCTGGTGCCTTAAAAATGTCACAGTTGATTTGGAAGGGGACAGCTTAGAATTCAAGCCCCAGTTGGTACTCAAGGAAACGGAGATAGAGGCCCAAGCTACCTGCGCCCCATCTACAGGAGTGCAGGTACCTAAAAGGAGTCTCCTCAGCTAAACCAGAGCTTCCAGAACATTCCCTGGGATGGGGGCAGGGAGGGGGGCGGGGGAAGTGCTGGAAAAGGGCAGCGACTGACCTGATGGGTCCGTTTGTCTCCGAGGCTTTCCGCAGTCTCAGGCGGGGGAGAGGCCCTCCGTGCACAGTGTGGAAGTCCACTTCCGGGAGTAGCGGCTCTGAACACGCATTGGAAAGAACAGAGGGTAACAATGAGGGTCAGTAAGAGCACGAAGACGGGGTCCTTCAGGAGGCCGAGGACGGTATAACTTCTGACACAGGCCACCACACGGAGAAGGCCTGAACGCAGGGTGCTAGAGGTTCCAGAGTGAGCGGAGAGTGGTGAAGTGCTTGCCGCCAAGAGGCAGGGCCCGGGATCTGGTCCCCAGCACCATGAAAGTGGGGAAAGTGTCCGACCCCGAAGAAGGTGATGCTCAGTGCCGCATAGAGCCAGGAGTGGCCCTTCGGCACTGCTGGGCATGGCCCAAAACACACACACAGACACACAAACATATCCCTGCGCACACACACACTCACACACACAAATACACACAGACACCCCTACCTATACGCACACCTATACACACACGCCCCTACACACACACACACACACATATACAGACACCCCTACATGCACCCTCCTATACACACACACTCATCTATACACACAGCACACACACGGCTATATACACATGCACCTATACACATACACACACGTCCCTACATATACACACAACACACACACACACAGCCACACCAAGCCAGGGCACAGACTAATGAGTCAAGACAAGAGAATACTTGAGATCCACTAACCAAGCAACATTGCTTGGGTCCACACAATGTGAAACTTCTAGAAAAGGCAGGTTTTTGGAGGCAAAAGTGGGCAGGCAAGAAGCTGCCCAGGGCTGGGAGGGGAGTGGGGAGGTGGGGAAGGAGGAATTGATGTTTACTGGTTACAGTTTCTGAGGGTTTTTGGAAACCAACAGCGGCTGAGGTTGTTCAACCCTGCAGAAGTACCTAATGCCATGAACTGGATGCTGGAAAATGAGCCAAGGACTGCATTGTTTCTATTATTTTACCGAGAAAAAAAATCGCTCACAAAAAAAGTGAGAGCCCAGCATTGCCAGGGGGTGGATGCTGTGGGCGTCAGCGTTTGCTTGGTGGACAGTTGTGATAAGAAATCAGCTTTCCAGATGACTGGTTAAAGAAACTTTGGTACATCTACACAATGGAGTACTATGTAGCTGTTAGAAAAGATGAAGTCATGAAATTTACATACAAGTGGTACTACATGGAAAGTATCATGTTAAAGCAAAATGAGTCAGAAAGAGAGGGATAGACATAGAAAGATTGCATTCATCTGGGGGATATAAAGTAACAAAGTATGAGATTAATACCCAAGAATAGCTGAGATCAGCACCAGGAGGATTACTCCATAACTTAGAGGCCAGCGGGTATCCTAGAGGAAAGGGCAGTTCAGATAGAGAAGGGAGCACCAAATAAAGGGTGTTTGGAGGATCCTCCCAGGAGGGGAGATGCATGTCGAAAGTAGACTATGGACTGAACATGTTTGCCACTCAATGCCTCTTTTGCAGACCACAACACCCAAAAGGAGAGAGAGAACACAGGGGATTGCCCTGCCACAGAGACAGGGGGATGGGGGGATGGGGGTGGGAGGGATATTATCCATGGTGGTGGAAAATGGGCACTGGTGGAGGGATGGGTATCTGATCATTGTATAATTGAAACCAAAGCACAAAAAATTGTAAATCTACAACTGTAAAAAAAAATAAAATAAAATAAAGGGAAAAAAAAAAAAGAAATCAGCTTTCTCCATCCCTTCGAATCACAGCGTGTCCTGCTTTTGCTACACATGTCCCAGCAACCGGGATTCCCAGATCCACTTTCCACTGGAAGGACAAACTGACTGGCTGGCATGGTGGTTCCATCTGTGGTGTCAGTGTCCCGGCTGCCGTTCTGCCGTCTGGGTTTGCACCGCTAAGATGTACTTACCAGGCGCTCAGGAAACGCATTAGCTGCGTCCTGGCAATGCTCCTCTCACTGAGTCTGCTCCAGAGGCGACCAGGCGGGTGAGGTGCACGAGCAGCCTTCCCTCCCCATCCCCCACCCCTCGTAGCCACAGTTGCCTGCCTCTCCAGACTCCGAGGAAAAGGGGTGAAGCCCACCTCACTAATCTATCTGTCTGTCTGTCTGTCTGTCTATCTATACTTTCTTTCTTTCTTCCTTTTTCTTTCTTTCTTTTTCTTCCTTCCTTCCTTCCTTCCTTTCTTTTCTTTCTTTCTTTCCCTCCTTCCCTCCTTCCTTCCCTTCCTCCTTCACTCTTTCTCGCCTTCCCTCTCTCTCTTCCTCCCTCCTTTCCTCCTTCCCTCTTTCTTTCCTTCCCTCCCCGCTTCCCCCTCCCTCTCCCCTCCCCTTCCCCCTTCCTCCTTCCCTCCCTCCCTTCTTCCCTCCCTCTCCCCTCCCCTTCCTCCTTCCTCCCTCCCTCCCTCCCTCCCTCCCTCCCTTCCTTCCTTCCTTCCTTCCTTCCTTCCTTCCTGGGTTGGGTTACCTGTGGGACAGTCCCCACCCATCAGACAGACCCGAGTTGAGGCGAATCTGAAGCCAGGTCTGCTTGTACCCTGCCATACAGGTGGGGCCTGCGGTTCAGATGTGGGGGCAGATCCTGCCAACTTCCTTTTTGGGCCCTGGCACCAAGTCAGTTTGAGTGATGAAACCCATCATTTCATCCCCTTCTCACGATCACGATCACGACCATCCTGTTGTTCGTCGATTGCCTCAAGCAGGCCCCAGTAAGGTCTCCATCCTAGCCCTGAGATTTTTTTTTTTAAAGTGCCATATTCAAGGCTCTTTCAGGGTTAGGAGAACGAGACCCATCATTGTTACTGGTATTTGGCATATTGGGTATGCACGGGGAGTTTGCCAGACTCTGCCGTGTGGGCAGGTTACATTCGGTAGCCTTCCAGTTTGTCCAAAGTAGGAATGAGATGATAAGATGTCGCTTCCGGGAGCTGAGTGTGATAATCTCTGGATCCTGGCCGTTGTTGGGATTATACGGCAGTTGGTGGGTGTAACTGTCTAGCTACTGGCAGGCCCTGAAGTAGTCCGAGGAGGGACCAGAATGATGCCCTTGGAAAGTCTCGTGGTCCAGATAAGGAAACAGAAGTGGGGTGGGGTTACAAAACGTGCCCGCAATCGGCACAGGCCAGAGCCACAATCTGACCCCAGGTTCTATGCCTTTCCTTTCCCCGGGGCTCCCTCAGTGACTGGCTGCTCCCACACTCACACAGCACCTTTGTATTACTTCTAGCACACTATTTGCTTAGGGGTTGCACCTTCTGGTTTGGGGGGCTTAAGTTTCCTGGAGGGAACCCCTGGTTTTGCTCGGGAACCATATGTGGTGCCAGGGATCTGAGCCAGGGCCAGTTTCAAGCAAAGCAAGGGCTCTACCTGCTGTGCTGTGTCTCCAGCCCCCAAGTCCACTTTGGCAACACTGAGCCCACAAGCATAAGAACCCCGGGGAAGGTGCCCTTCGCTTAATGACAGGTACTGAGAAGTGGGGCCATAATTAAGCCACAGAGGTCGTGAGGATGCCACAGACACCAGCCACTAGCTGCCTCGTCTGTAGAAGAGGAGCAGAGACGGGCCAGAGGAATAGTATGGGGGCTAAGGCAACCAGTCAGCAAGTGAGGCTCAGAGCCCCAAACACACACACAAGCACACACGCACACACAACACACACACATGCATGCACGCATAAACACACACATGAATGTACACATACACACACATGCACGCACACATCAACACACACACGAATGCACACATAAATACACACACATTCACACACACACACATGCACGCACACACAAACACACACACACACACAGCCACACCAAGCCAAGGCGGGGATTAATGAGTAAGACGAGAGAGAGCTTGGGATACACTAAGTGTATGTTACTGGTTCTTAAAATAGCCTGAAACTCACGAGCAACGCCCAAGGAGTGCCAAGCACTACGCTAGGCGCCGGGTGTCTCAGCAGCTCCGGGTGACGTCAGCTCGGCTTTCTCGGTGGCTCAGACAGGTGAAGTCACACCAGGGGCAGGTGGAGTCAGGTGTGTGACCGGGGTTCACACCCAGCACTGTCACTGGTACTGCCATGACACCCGGCTAGGGTAACACGTTCGCTGACAATCTCAGCTTTTTTTTCTTTTTGGACACCCAGAGGGACAAATTCCTGCTGTGCCACCCCCGGCCTGTGCTTGTAAGGAACAGGGTAGGGGGGGTCTGAGGGAGCCACAGGCCAAGGAGATTCCATCATCAGGAGGCAGCAAAGCAATGCAGCGAAGCAGAAATGCTCATTCGGGAAGGTCCTCCGAGCTCTCTGATCCAACAAATTCCCCTGTAGCTGGGCTCCTGTCTCTGAGCCATCCTCTAGACACAGACACGGGGTGCTAAACACACACACACACATACACACACACACACACACACACACACAATTCCCCCAGGGAGCTGTGGGGCAGGGCCAGCGGGCCATGTCAGAGTGGAGTTTCGAGGCCTTTGTTGGAGAGAGCTGCTCTGAACCCCAGGGACCAGACGGTGGAAACAGGCCCTGCACCCCTCAGGAGGCCAGTGGGGAGAAGGGTCTTGGCCAGATCCTGACCTAACCCATCACTCTTTCAAAGTCCATCACTGTATCGACAATGGGGCAGGTGGGGGGGCGGGGCGGGCAGAGAAAGAAGACCATGAAAGAGGAAAGTGCTTCCAGCCCAGCCCCACAGCGAAGGAAAAACTCCCAATTAGGAAACAGCTTTGGTGGTGGCAGTGATAATTAATCCAAATTTAAAAAGGAGGGGAGGGCTGCCCCAATCACATTAAAGCTCTTTCAAATGTGCTGTGTCCACCCTGTCCAACGCCCACGTGCCCGAAGAAACCGAGAGGACATGCTTCCCGCTCTCCGACAGCTCACGGGCTAGCAGAAGAGGGAGTTTCATAAACAGACCGAGCTGTGACAGAACAGGGCACCGTGGGGGTGCCGGGGAAGAATGCTGGCAAGAATTGGGGGTGTGCAGGGGTGAGGAGGGGAGCCCATTGCAGGCAGGGAGAGAATGAAGGCAGCGCAGGCTCCATGGGGGAGGGCCAGGCAGTCCAGTGAGAG